GTGGTAACTGTAGAAATCCGATTTTTACGAGCCGGCCGTGAAGGTGCTGCTGCCAGAGCCGTGGGGCTTTCTTGATCCCGTAAAGGGATTTTTCCAGCTGGCATACTTTTGAAGGGTCGTCGATGAATCCGTGGGGTTGTTCGACGAAGATTTCGGCGTCCACAGGTGCGTATAAGAAGGCGTTTGCGACGTCGATTTGCCGTAGTGGTAGTTTCTTCGTGGCCGCGACGGCGAGTAGGATGCGCAGGGAGGTGTGACGGGAGACTGGGGCGAAGGTCTCTGTGTAGTCGGTTCCGTATCGTTGGTCGAAGCCTCGTACGACCCATCGCGCTTTAAAACGTTCGATGGAGCCGTCCGCGTTGGTCTTAATGCGGTACACCCATTTCCCCGAGAGAATGTTCCTCCCGTTGGTGTTGGTTGTCGGTACTAACTTCCATGTATTCCGGTCTTGGAGGGCTTTTAACTCTTTTTCCATTGCTTCCTTCCATTCCGCCTTATGTTCCCCCCCCAGAGCCTGCGACAGGGTCGATGGCTCGCGCGGAGAAGGCGGCGGCGGGTGCTGGACGGAGACCCATAGTCCTAGGATCTGCAGTCCTGTGGCTGTGTGTCGGGGGGAATTTTCATTCCCGGAATAAGCTGCTTCGTCACCGTCTTCGGGGTCAGGTAAGAAATTGGGGCCGATGCGTTCCGAAATATTCGTGTCGACGGGGTGAGGTGTAGCGTAACCTTGGTCGGCGAAGTGGTAAAAGGTGTCGAGGTTGTTGCTATCGAGGGGATTATCTTCATCGAGTGGAACAGGTACGGAACAGAATGGGAGTGGCCCGGCAGCCTCCGAGGCTCCAGGTACGTCTTCTTCTGCTGCGTCAGCTTCGGCAGCACGATCGGCGAAGGAACGAAGTCCCGAGAGGCCGTCGGTGGGGTCTTGTGTGTTGGCAAGGTTGTCCAGGTAATGCTGCAGAGTCAGTCGTTCGTAGAAGATAACGTCTCGTGATGCCACCGTGTTTTTGTCTTGTATGTCGAGAATTTTCCACGCGTGAAAATGTTTCGCGATGCCGAGGTGGAGTCCCCACCGAGCTCGTTGTGTGAAGCGTCCTGCTCGGGCTGTGTGGGGTCTGTACTGTACCATGCAGCCAAAGACTCTGAGTAATTTTGTGCTGCCCCTTTTTCTTGTCCACAACAGGTGCGGTGATGCGTTGTTGGGAAGTGATGACGAGGACAGCATGTTGTGCAGGTGAACAGCATGTGTCATCGCGTCTGGCCACAGTGTGGTTGGCAGTCGCATCCCCTGAAGCAGTTTTCGCATCGTCGTCTGCAAGGTCCGATTCATGCGTTCTGCTACCCCCTGCTGTTGGTGAGCATAGGGCAGGGACACCAGGCGTCTGATTCCCCTTTCCGCCAGATAGGTCCTGAAGCGTTGTGACTGGTATTCCAGTGCACCGTCTGACTGGAAGCTCTTGAGTTTGAGTCCTGATTCTCGTTCGGCGATGGGGAGCCATGTTGTGAAGGCTTCGAAGGCTTGGTCGCGCGTTTTGAGATTGAAGTGCCAGACATATCTGGTTGCGGCGTCGATGAAAGTGATGACGTAGTTAAAGTCGGCTTCGGCGTCGTCTCGAGGCATGTTTAAAATATCGCTGTAGACTTTTTCCATCGGAGCGTAAGTAGGTGCGCTTGGGTTGTGATGGGATGGAAAAGGTTGATGAGGAAGATCTGCTTCGGGGCATGTGAAGCACCGTGCGCGTGGTCGTCGAAGTTCTTGACCGCTCGTCGTCAGAAGGGCGTTGCGTTCTAACACCTCTGCTTGGATTGTTTGAAGTATTGTGCTGTTTGCAGGGTGTCCGAGGCGTTGGTGCCAGATGTCGTCGGGAGCACGGTGACCGGGCGAGCGGTGGTAGATGTCGGCGTTGGAGAAGAACGCGACGACTGAGGCGGGACTTCGACAAGTTTCTCGTGTGGCGGGCATAAGTTGGTCTGCTTCCGTTGGCGGTCCTCGTGTTGATGGTGGTGGTACTCGGCTGGGTTCTGCTGCCGATACTGCAGGTGATGGTTTTGTTGGGACACTTGCGGGTACTTGTCTTTCTTGTCTGATAACTGCTAATGCTCGTGTTCTCTCTGCTGCAGGTATGGTGTTGGAGTGCCAGAAGCCGTCACTGTCGAAGTCAGGATCAAGATCCGGCGGGTGAGTCCAGGCGGCGAACGATACGATGCCATCGCTGTCTGCAGTTCCGCGGTCGGGGACGAAGTCCAACACGAAGACACCGGACTTTAGGAGGGCACGACCGATGAAGAGGCCGCCCTTCCCGTGGTAAAGCCGGAACTCGTTGGAGTAAGAGTCGCACTCCAGGTGAATCCCTTTGGCCATTAGTTGGCTTACGCTTAGTAGATTGTATCCTAGGTTGTCGACAATGAGCACTTTGTTGAGCTGCAGTATTACGTTTGTTTCCATGGATTGTAGCTGAACCACGCCTTGTCTGTTTGTCTTCAGGTTTTCGTTGTTGGCGACTGTGATGACGACGTCGCGGTTGAGTCGTTTCTCCTGTTGCACGAAGCGTCCCGAGGAGCACATGTGTTGACCGCAGCAGCTGTCCAAGAACCAGGTGTTTCGCCCGGTGGGTTCGGCGTTGGCGACTGCAGCGTATGTCGGGTTGACCTGAAGTCCTTGCGAGCGCGGCGGCGGGAATTCCTCTTCGTCTGGTGCGTAAGTGGGTGGTGAACCGGGTGCGCAGTTGTCGATGTGTACCATGCAGTTGATGATGTTGGGTGTTTGTTGTGCAGATGTTGAAGAGCGCCTTGGAGGACTTGCTTGAGTGGAAGTGACTTGTGGGTCTGCTGCACGGTAAACGCGAGGGCGGTTGCAGTTGACTTTGGAGTGCCCGGAAGTCTGGCAGTTGTGGCAGAACGGCGGTACGATGGTGAGTCCTCGGTTGTCGCGTTGATCTTGCTTGCTGCGTCGGTTGTAGTTGTTGTCGTTTCTTCATTGAGTGTAGAAGACTAACTGCTGTTGCTTCCTTGGTTGTCTTTCCTCGAACAGATCCATCTCCTGTTGTTCAGCGTGAAGCTCGGCGCAGAGGTGCATCTCCGAAATTCTTCCGTGGGCTCGAAGAAGTGATCGTGTGGTTCTCCATTCTGGCCCGAGCCCGGCGAGGACAAGTGTCACGAAGCTTTCTTCAGTGATCGTTCCTCCGCACCGAAGCAGGCGGTCGCGGAGGGTCTGGCAGCGACTCATATACTGCATCGCTTTTTCCCCGGTCTTCATCTGTATTGTTGTCAGCTGTTGCATGAGTCTGCTTTGTGTCACGCTGTCGTTTGCTTGGTAAAGGCACTTGAGGTGGTGCCATGCGAGCTCCGCGGAGTTTCCATAACTCCGATACGTTCTGATGCTCTGCTGCTCTTGTGGTGACAGGTTTCTCAGGAGTACCGTGTACGCCAGCAGCGACTGATACGTGAAGATCTCTTGTTCCTTCCCAGTGCCGTTGCTTGGGAATGGCAGGGACCCGTTGAAGTATCCCAGAAGATGCGCGGCCTCCATCAGCAGCTC